CAGCCATTCACCGACCCCTCYGTTTGTCACCGTTAATGGGTTTGGATGTGACACTGCCCTGATTCCCCAAGGTTGGCAAAGCCCTCCAAGGTCACTGAACCCTCCCTGTGCCTGTCCCCACGGTGTCCCCAGCACAGGGCACTCAGTGCCACCTCCAGGGACCCCTGCAGGGACAGGGTCTGCCAGCCCCATGGGCAGTTCCTGTCCCTGACCCCCTTTCCATGGGGCAGTTCCTGCTGATCCCCTGAACCCCATGGCTGGGCATTAACCCTTCCAGGGCTGGGTGTTTATCCCGGTTTTGAATTTTTAATTTCATTTTTAATGAAATCTGCCTGGGCTGCCATCCCCAGGGCCCCATGCTGCCTCTCCCTGGGCAGGGAGCTCACAAAACTGGGAATGGCTTCATTTCCCTGCTTTTGAAGGTCACATTCGCTGGGCTTTGGAGTGGCAGTGACTGGAAAATAAGGGGATTTAGATAGGAGATAGAGCTGGGATGATTTTATTTTTCTCAGGGGCATTTTTTGGGGTTACTTGGTGAAAAATCCCAGGTACAGSCAGAGCTGTTCCTGGAAATTTAAATCCTGACTGAGCCAGGCWTGGAAAAACTGAGATTTATTTCTTTTTAGGAGGAGCTGTGAGTAATGTCAGGTATTCAAATGCTAATGAAGAATTTTTATTATTCTATTTAAGAATCCTTGACTAAACCAGACCGATTTTTCTCTAAAAAGTGGGAATTTGTGTGAGGGAGCTGCTTGGACCTCCACATGCRTGGAACCAACACAAACAGCAGGAATAATCCTCAGGGATGGCRATTCTTAGGTTTAGGAATCACTCAGAGCCCTTCTTTTAACCCCAAATCTGTGTTTTAGTGCACAAGAAACGGTAAAGATAATTCAGTAAAGATTTTTGGCCAGGGATACACTCAATTTAACTGTGCCAGAAGGGCCCTGGGTTTGCTAATCTGTAACAGAGTCAAGTATTAAAAAAAATTACAAATTATTGTTCTTGACATCCCTTTTTTTTCTTTTTTTCCTGTCGAGCAAAGCCTTTGCAATAAAATGCAAATGAGATGATCAGTGGGGCTGTCAGAAATAGCTCTGGTTTGACAGCTAAATGGGCCTGAGTGGATGAGATTTCTGCTGCCATCCCAGGCTGTGGGAACGCCTGGGAAAACAAAGTCAGGGATTGGGGGAAAGAGCAGGTGGGGCTGGGGTTAAAAATCACTTTTTTATTTAAATTTTTATTTAAAAAATAAAATTGACAAGTGTTTTAAACAGTTTTGTCAGGAAAGGGGAAAAATGAAAGGGGTGAAGGTGAAAAGAGAATGGATTGGGATTGGGATTGGGATTGGGATTGGGATTGGGATTGGGATTGGGATTGGGATTGGGATTGGGATTGGGATTGGACTGGGACTGGAGCTTTGCTGGTTCTTTCCCTGGGCATGGGCATCCTTGCTGCTGGGAATGGAGCCAGGGCATGGATTTGGGATGGGCTCCTTGGAGTGAAACAGAAATTCCAGGGGCTGGAATAGGCTGAGCTGCTGGGCTGGGATGGGTTTGGGGTRTGTTTGGGATGGGTTRGGGTTGGAGTTGGGGTCAGTGATGGGATGTGGCCCCCCTGGAGCAGGGAGTGCTGCACATCAGGCCAGGCTGTTCCCCCATCCCTGCAGGGCCCATCTGGAGAGGAGAAAATGGTAAAATCAGGGAATCCTGGAAGGGTTTGGGATGGAGAAGGTTAAATCCTATCCCATCCCATCCCTGCCATGGCACTGTCCCAGGTGCTCCCAGCCCCAATGTCCAGCCTGGCCTTGGGCACTCAAAGGGATCCAGGGGCAGCCACAGCTGCTCTGGGAATTCCATCCCAGCCCCTCCCCACCCTCCCAGGGAACAATCCCTTCCCAATATCCCATCCATCCCTGCCCTCTGGCACTGGGAAGCCATTCCCTGTGTCCTGTCCCTCCAGCCCTTGGCCCCAGTCCCTCTCCA